ACATATCTGGCTAAGGTGAAGGTAGACGTGTTAATAGATGACACCCAGTGGATCGAGCTTTCATGGCTCTCGAGAAGAATTCCTGGCAACGGCCTGTTCGTTCAAATGTCGTTATTTCTGATGCACAGCGGCTCGTTCAGGAAAATTCGTGGAACTGTTCGATTCTTCGTTAATTCGACCCAACTGGTCGAATTTGTCTTTGTCCTTCGTCACGTGTTGACGTAGCAAGCCGCACGGTATGCATAGAATGTTAGTGTATCTCGAATTCTAGTGTACCCTAAAATTTTTGGAGTATTTGTATATATGGTTATGGTTCTTCAAAATTTTCAAGATATTCTGTATGTTGGTTTAGGAAAATTTTATGAACAAATTTTTTTTTACGGATTGCAAAAATAAAAATATTATTATATGTATTATATACATATTATTTCTAAGAAAAATTTTAAAAATAATTTTTATTGTTTAACAATAATTCTCTAATTTTTAAATTGTAAACTTGGAATTCAAATTAATAATAGATTTGTGTAATGGCGATTTAGTTGGATTTGAGAATTTTTAATTCTAATCTAGATAATATCTGGAATAAAATTTCATTAAATTCGTACGATTTTTATTTTTACTAATAACGAAATTATATAACGAGATTTCAATAAGTATCCTAGAATTTTTTCATATTTTTTGAGATTCTGGAACAGTAAAAAAAAAAAGAATAATCATTAAATAGCTCAAGTTTCTCACGACAGGTGCGAAAAATATGCTAACTTAAGTAAAAGGATACCTGGCTACCCAGGTATCGATATAATTAACAAAATGGTAATGCTCCCCATACCTTTTATCCCTTTAAATTTAAAACCAGAAAAAACTATTTTGCTTGGATCTCTTGATCTCTTGATCAGAGAGAAAAAAAAATTTCTTTCTTATTCTCACCTATTCCCTTGAAAAAATATTCTCAAATTAATTAATATATTCGTTTAAAGACGAAAGGACTATCCAGAAAAGACTATACCGCACAATTTTATATATATAAATTCTCCAAAAATTCTCCAAAACATTCTTTCTATCGTTAAAAGAATATTCTCGATCGATTCCCGAATAAATTAATCTTTATTATTAATTCACTCTAAAATTCCCGGATAAAAAAACATTGGATCATTGGCGCGCAAGTTCGAAGATAGCGTGACATCGCGGTTTAATTCGCGGCAAACGAAAGTGCGAGTCGAACGACAGTGCAAGTTTCCAACGATAGCGAAAGCTCCGTCGGCCACAGCTGTAAAGCTATTAGAGAGAGTTTTGCGTGGAGAGAGGTGGTGGAGAGTGCGGTGGAAAACGTAGCCGTGAGATAGCGACATAGCTATCGCTCTCTCTATGTACCGGCCATTATGTGTATCCACCAGCCGTGCAAAAGCTAGTGTGCGCGCGAACGCCACGCGCGCACACGTGCACACACGGAGGATAGACGCGTTTGCTCATCGCGTGGACGTGTAGCGTACTATGTGCACCGTGGACAGAAGGAGAGGGAGAAAGAGAGCGTTGACGGGAGAGAGAGGGGGTTAAGCGACGGTCGATATCTCACAGAGGACCAACATCGCATCGGTTTTCGACGATGGCTTGGAACCTCTTGCGAGCATCTCGCTTCGTTGGATTCAACGAGGAATTTTAAAGGGAATCCTTTATTTAACGCGCTTGTATGGATAATTGAATTATTGGATCGAATTAAATTATTGTTTCTCTATGAAATGGAGGAGGGAGGGGGTAATAAATAGAGAAAGAATTGAGAGAGTTGAAAGGTTGAAATTTATCGATCTATGCCAATTTTTTTTTAATGTTTATTTATAATTAAATTGTTAAATGGTAATTGAATATTAGTGGCAAATTGGGATAAATTGCGTTTAGAGGATGGTATTTAATGATATGAAAGTTTCAAATATTACAAGAATTTTTTTCTTAGAAGCGTTATTTTTCGATTTTAGTAAATTTTAACATATTGATAACTGCTATGTGTTCAGTAATTATAGCCGTAATTATAGCTATAGGTGTTTAGACGATTATGAATAAAGTGTATATAAAATAAATTGAATAAATTAAACAGATACATTTGAATATTAGTATTGAATATTAGTATCTTTGGTAACATTATTTCGCATGTTTCAAGCAATATTATAGATATTATATTAAATTATAGAATAATCAATTTATTTTATTAATAATAAAATCGAATTTTATTTCGAGTCTACCTATTCACAAAATTTTTTTCTAACTCCACGTGCATTTCGTTTATAACTTAACCATATACAATTATGATTACGACTTATAGCACAAATATTGTATTTTTAATATTTCTACCATTTTCTAGAGAAACAGTTTTGAAGATGCGATAATTTCCATTATAATATCGAATATCTATCAAAATGTGGCAAAAATGAAAGATCCACTTGCAGAAGCCATTACTGTTAGCTCTCGCGTGATCTTCGCTCAATCCGGAGCGATACATTGTGTCATTGCCGCGAGAAACAAAGAATCGCAGAACGCGAAAAGTTCATAGCCATCGTCAGTCGGTCTAAGCAACGCTGAATGAACCGTCCGGGGACTAGGGCACAACATTCGCGGGTATCAAAGCGAGCGAGTAGGTGTGCAGACACGCCGAACGTAATAGTAACCTTGGCTTAGCGATGGTCACGTTATAGTAACGTCTATGACACGTTCCCACGTAGTCGCGTGTCACGTTCTCGCTTACGATCGCCTCACGTGACCACGGAGAAAGGGGAGGGCTCAATGAGCCTCGTCATCGGGGCTTTTTTATCTCGAAACGCTCAGTTTTTTCCTAAGTGGCTCCGCCACTGTGTTTTCACGATGATTTCGACCGTCTATGAATTCTTCTTTTTTTTCTGTTTCTTCTTTATCGCTTCCTGTTCTCTCATGGCCGAAAATAATCGTAATATAAATTTTTGTAATCTCAATAAGATTGCGTAACGTTTTTGTATATTTCGTTGTGAAAAATCTCTGTAAAATCGAGATGTAAATATAATTTTATACAAGTCGAAATATTTGTATCTATATATTATGTATTTAAAACTGCGTTGTTTTATTCTAATTTGGAAACGTTTATATTTATTTCTAATGTTAAATTAATGCCTAATTGAAATAATAAAATTATATATGTAAATAACATATGTTACTAATTATACATTGATAAGACAAATGTCAATTCGAAATATGAATTATATATAATGTTATATTGAAAATTTTCGAAAATGGAATAGCAATTGCATAATTGTAATAGCTTGTGTATAATATTAACTGATATCTTGTTAAAATACATGAAAACAAAACTCTCAAATGTATTTACACTTGAAAAATGACTCGTGAATTTTTCTTTCTTTGAAGAATTCTTTACAGAATTTTCTTGGAAAAATATAAATATATAACCTCGTACAATGTCTCGTTACCATTTTCTTTACATCGAATTTTTCGATCGAAGATACCGATCAGAGGAAATCTTCATGATTCAAAGATTCTAAGACTCTTCTCTCAAGATTCAAGATTCACTGAAATATATTATATTTTTCGAAATGTTTAATTATTCGTAGAAAGATTCTTTCAGTCGATTTTTTTTTTTATTTATATCGTGAAAAATTATAAGCGTTATTTCGAAATATTAAAATGAACGACGAAATGTGATAAGCGTGTGTGCGAATTTTATGTATGGAATATATAAATTAAGATCGGTAATTTTAATTACACGGTTGAGAAATAATTAAGAAATAATTGTTATATTGCATCTTTATGTTTCAGATCGTACAAATCAACCGCCTTCTAACAAGCCACATTAACCTCAAGTGATTTCTATTTTCTTACGAAGCGCGAAAGAAGTAATTAGTGTGTTTATATCGATGTAAAACAAAGAGAGAAAGAGAGAGAGAGAGAGAGAAAGAGAGAAAGAGAGAGAAAGAAAGAAAGAGAGAGAGAGAGAGAAAAACGAGAAAAAAAGAAGAAAAATTATTTCAAGAGCTTAAGTTCAGAGAAAAAACAAAACATTAAGAGCTATAGTATCTAATTAGTGTACAAAGTATATCTGAAACAAAATAAAGAAAAAAAAAAAAAAAAATTAAAAAAGTCCGCCAGTGCCAAATCGAAAGAGAGAAAAATAGAAAAAGAGGGTACAGAGTAAACAGAGAGAAAAATTTAACACGATTGTTGTACATTTAAGAGCAGGTAAAAAAAAAAAAAAAAAAAAAAAAAAAAAAAAAAAAAAAAAAGGGGCGAGAAAAAAGAAGAAAGAAGAAGTTAAAAACCGTAAACCAAAGAATCTACCATTTTTTTTTTTTTTCTACTAATCACTCAGCTAACGATATTACTCACTAACCGAGCTAAACGAGCGGCGATCTCTTCGCGAGCAGGAATTTAATTAGGAAAAAATACAAAAGAAACAAAAAAAATCAGAACACAAAAGCATAAGAAGTAAATAATAAAAAAGAAAAAAAAGTAAAAAATAAAAAAAAAAATAAATAAATAATAAAAACGCGAAAAAAAACAAATCGACAAAATTTTCTAAGCTTACAATAAGAAGTTTATTACGTGATAAACAAGCTAAAAGGAAAAAAAAGGGGTTGACGTTCTTTTTTTGATTTCAAAAAAGAGGGGGAAAAAAAAAAATAAAAGGAGAAAAAGAGGAAAAAGAAGAAGAAGAAAAAAAAAACGCACTTGTGAGAGAGCGCGTACGAGTATCTAATTAAGGAAAGAAGAGAGGAGTCCCATCCAAAGCGAAAGACAGACGGAGAGAACGCAGGCCGCCCTATATATCCGGAAAAGGGGACTCGCATATAATTACTCCCAGAGAAACCGATCTACTTCAGTTCGTAGCCTAAACCTGTTGAGTACAAACGACAGAAATAGAGTTATAGAGAGAGGTAGAGAGAGCGAGAGAGAGAGAGCGAGAGAAAGAGAGAGAGAGAAAGAAAGAGCGAGCGTAAGAGAACGAGAGAACGAGAGAGAAAGTGAGAAATAACGACGAGAGTGAGCGCGAGCGAGCGAAATAAAAAAAGAGCTCTAAAAACAAGAGGCGAGAAGAAGAAGAAGAAGAAGAAGAACAACAACAACAACAACAACAACAAGAACAAGAAAAAGAAAAAGAAGAAGAAAAAGAAATTCAGGAAAAAGCGAGTATACACATTGATATACACACAGACACACAAAGGCGATATACACACACAAAATAGCACACGTATACACGAAGATACCACCGGAAATATTACTGGAAATATCAGCGAGGCACACCTAGGAAAGGAAACGGAAGATCACGAGGAGGCAGAGGGAGGGAAAATTCGGCCCCCTCAGATGTCACGCGCGAGGATAAACGGTGCACGGTCGGAGAACAGCCAATAATCCCGATAACGAGCGTCGAGTCACGATCTGTGAAAATACCAAGATCCGCGAAAGATCCGGCCAAGGATCGGGAGAGAGGAAGGAAAAGAAAGAAGAAAAAGAATTGGAAGATCTCGCGCGTGACCAGATCATCGTCATCATCGTCGTCGTCGTCGTCGTCGTCGTCGTTCGCAACGTTCCTTCTTGCCGCCCCCCTCCCCCTCCCTCCCTCCCACCCTCCCTCCCCCCTCTTTATCCCGACCGACAACGCACACCCGACACCCGATAGAAGCGGAATAATAACGCGGCCTCCTGCCCGCCAGGGGGTTCACGTGGTCGAGATGACGTGGCGGGGAAGATGAGCGCCGAGGTAACGAAGGAGGTGGTCGCCACCGAGAGGGTAACGGGAAGCCCTCCGGCGGCGGTCGCGACCTCGCCGAGCTCGGTCGGCCCAGGTGATCCGGCGCGTCACCTGCCGCCGTTCAGCAGCTTCGCCGGGGACAACGCGATGGACAGCTCGACAACATTGACTACCCTTCACTCGCAGGACGTTGGGCTCGGGCTCACGTCCTCGTGGGACTACTACGAGGGACTGACGGGCCGGTTGATCGATTCACGGGGGGAGGTGGTGCTCGCGAGCCAGTACAGGCCGTGGGAGTCGAAGAACGCGGTCGGGGGCGGGGGTGGCCCCGCGGCCGCCCCGGGCGAGGGCCTGCCGAGCTTCGCGAGCCAGTTCACGGCGCCTAGCGAGGCAGAGCCCCAATTGACCGCGCTCACTCCATTGTCGCCAGCCTCGATATCGCACTCTCCACCTGTCACGTCGGCGGTCGGACTGCCAAGCTTCCACACGCTCGGCACGCCGCTGCCCGCGCCCCATCCTCACAGGGGCAGCGTCGGTTATCCGTTGGTCCCTGCCCCCGTCCAGGCCAGGGAGGTGCCCGCCCTTCAGCAGCAACTGCTCGACGAGAGGCATATCCAGTTGCTCGGCTCGAGCCCGGTCCAGGCTTTCCCGCCCCCGCCGCCCGGCCATCCCCATCACACCGTGTTGACCGTGGTGAAGCCCGAGTATCCCCAGTTGCATCACGCCAACTTCCAGAACCCGATGTCCACGGTGCTCGACTCGTCGCCGACGTCCAGGCCGGTCGGGATCGATGGGAGGAAGAAGGAGCGGAGAAAAATAAGGGCGGGCTCGATGGAGTCCGAGGACAGCGCCGGGGCCGGGAACGTGGAGAGTTCCGGCCAGGTAGCCGCGGTCTCGTCCACCGCGAACAGGGGGCCCCATCACCTCGGCGGTGGGATGGCCGACGCTGACGGGGACGGTGGGCTGAGCGATAAGCCGGCGAAGAAGAAGCGCAAGAGGTGCGGCGAGTGCATCGGGTGCCAGCGCAAGGACAACTGCGGGGATTGCGCCCCCTGCCGGAACGACAAGAGCCATCAGATCTGCAAGATGAGGCGGTGCGAGAAGCTCACCGAGAAGAAGGTAAGTGGCGTGTGCATTCTCATTTCTCTTCGATTCTCATTTCTTCTCTCATAGATTCGATAAAGATCGAACATAGACTTTCTCCAATTTCGACGATATCTTCTGTGTAGCTTCTTTCTTTCGAGAAAGTCATTCTCGTCGAACGTTCGAGGTTTATCGTTCTTTTTTTTTTTTTTTTGTAATCTGATATTAACGTTTGTACTTTGGATATCCGATTTAATGGTGATTACGTTATAATTGTATAGAAAAAGGTTCAGACGGGAATTGAATCGTATAATTTTTTAATGCATTAATCTATGCGAAACGTTATTTCTTATAAAAATAACGAGTAAATCACTTCATTTTCTTTTTCAATTACTCACTGAAAATTTTCTTTGCGCTCGATTGGAAGAATTTACACGTACATTTACAAGCTTCTTCGAATAAAAAGAGCTTCAAAGATTCCAATTTAATTACCAATCATTAAACCAATCATTAATCTACGTTTAGTCCAAAAATTCATCCAATGCGACTTTCTATCGCGTCATAACGAAAGAAAGAAAGAAAGAAAAAAAAAAAATTAAAAGAAATAACACTTTTTATTAAAAACCTCAAAACTTCGCAAAACCCTCGAGACCATCTCTCAAAACGATACTTTACCCAAATTAAAACCTCTTCTCCAAAAAAGAAAAAAGAGGAAAAAAAATTAAATCGACGAAACCTCGAAAAGTTGAAAACCACGTTCCATCTCGATTCACTTTCGCTGGAAGAGGAATCCTGTTGCGCCGCCACACAGGTTCGCGTAACTGGAGCAATTCCGCGAGAACGAGCGGATCGAAGGGGTGGCGGGTCGAAAACGGGCGCGAAAATGAAGGTTGGCTGGCACGCGACATCGGGGGCGGGGGCGAGGGAGGGCGAGTGGTGGTGTTGTCGGCCGCCGTGTTTCCGCTCGAAATTCGTGAAAATCCAGGTGCACGCGGCCCGTTGGGGGGAAAGGGGAGGGGGGGCGCGGGATGCCAACCAGGGTATAGGATAAACACCCAGCCACGCCAGCCGCGTTATAGAACCGTCGTCGCGTATATATATATAGATAGAGAGAGAGCTGAACTTGGCCCCGATTGCCTGAATGTGGCGAGAATCCCAGAGGGAAATACAGAAATACAGATAACCGAGGTGGTTTATTATTGTAGCGACATTGAATAGGGGGTTGGTAGGTTGACTGGCTCGTTGGTTGGTTGCCTCGCTGTTTGGCTGCTCGATCGCTTTTCGTAGCGAAGGATTTGAGCTGTGTTCAAATAGATAATTTTGCAATAAATTTATTCTACGTATTTTCAATTCGTTTTTACTCATTTTTATCTCAATTCATCTTGTATATATTTTTTCACGTATATTTTGAAAGTAATTTTATGCGTTCTGAAAAATAATTCTGTCGAAGATAATCTTTTGGCTCTTTGTATTTGTTGTTTGGAGAGTTAGATAATAATAATCGATCTCTCGAAAATGTGATCTTTGTTTTAACGAAACAAGAGATTAATTAATTTAGATTTTTAAAATAAGGTGTATAAAGGTTAGATATTTTTTTTTCCTTGTTCTTTTTTTTTTTTTGAAATAATGCAAATGATTTACTTCCTTTTATTTATCGGAGGCATTGCGTTGCGAGCTAGAGTTATCGTTAATTATGCATTTGTGTTATATATGTGTTATATGGTTCGCTTATTTGCGATAGTGAAAAGTTATATGGAAATCGTTGGAAGAAAGCAAGGCTGTGACGTTTTTTTTTTTTTTTTCGAATAAAATAAACTCGTATGTATCATTGACGTTGATATAACAGGGAATTACGTGTCATTCTAACAGCGCCGATTTACCAATAACTTGTCGCAAGTATCCCCCACCCCGCGATTATATTAAATGTATTATTCCTCGACTACTGATCCTGAATAGTAAAATTGCATTCCTCGTTATAATAAGATGGTTTAAATTATTTGCAATTGCAATTCAGTCATCGCAATAAACAATTATTCAATTTTCTTCAACTTCTTCGAGTTTTTCATATATGATAAAAATGTTTATTCCACGAATTTCTAATTTCGACAGCAAACATGATTATCGAATATTTCGAGTTTTCTTAATATTTTTTCTCAACGTTTTCTCAACATAAAAGTAATAATAGCTTTCGATCGTTTTAACTTTTCGATAAAACCATTTGATAAAATTCACGTGTCACAATGATTCCACGAACTTTATCAAAATTACTAAAAAAAAAAAAAGTGAAAAAGAAACGGGAAAATAAATAAATAAATCAATCGTTTTACGCAATTAACTTTTTGAACTATTTGATAAAACGCGTATCATCGATTCGACACGAACTTATCAAAATTATTAAAAAACGAAAAAGAAAAAAAACGAAAATAAATCATCTCGATCATTTTATTTTCGATGCAGTCAATTTTCTCGATAAAAATCCAATCATCGATTCCACGAATCTTACCAAAATCTCATTAAAAATTAAAAAAAAAAAAGAAGAAATAAACAAAAATAAATCCTCTCGATCATTTTACTTTCGAAATCGCAATCAACCTTTCGGAACTATTCGATAAAAAAACTTTCGATCGATATCGCCGATTCCACGAATCTTGTCAAAATCTTATTAAAAATCAAAAAAAAAAAGAAAAGAAAAGAAGAAGTAATAATAACAATAATAACAAATCATCTTTCAATCATCTTGTTTTGACGCAATTAAGCCATCGAAAGCGAGTACGAGCCGCGTGGTAGACACGAAGAGTCTCGTTTCGAAAACTCGAATGCACGGGGTCATTGTACCCGAGTACGCGAGTCAATTTAATGGCAAACTCGCGGGCAAGAGCGTGTGCAGAGCGGTGTGCAACAAACAGCCGCGCGGCGTCGCCGTCTCGTAAGCAGCTCCGCTTATCGTAGGGCAAGTTCAAGGCTCGTCGCGGGTCATAATAATCGTGTATCGAACTCCGCTTCGTTCAAGAAACAAACGTGTTGTTTGCTGGCCGATACGGCCTAACACTTCTCTCGTTCTCTCCCTCTCCCTCTCCCTCTCCCTCTCCCTCCTCCCCCCTTCCCGTCCCCCCGTCGCGATAAACGTACATGCCTAACAATTAAAACGAATCGATTCGTTTCCCCCTCCCCCCTCCCCCCTCCCCCCACATACCGAACACTTACCATTTCAATCACGAGAAAATCGAGAAGTTTCGGTATTTCTATTTTTCTTAGTTTTTTTTTTTCAATTTTTCTTCCTCTCCGTTTTGCGCGAGAGAAGGAATCTTTGCGATGCGAGAGG